CAACCATGCGGACCTTTCCTTCTCCATCAAAGTAGTTTTTAAACAGGTGGGAGACTTTGGAGTCTCTGTATGGTACCATCTACAACAGACGTTCTACGTTACCTGCATGGTCTGAATGGAAATGTTTAGCTTCAATCTAGTAACACTTACCTTGTTGGTGCCGTACATTTGGTTCTCCCGAAGGATTTCAAGGCACGTCCGCAGATTCAGGAGCGACTGATTAATATTTCCTGCATAGAAAAACATGTTAGATTGAGCAAAAGATTTCTAGATGTCTTATCTAATCTAACAATTATGTTTAACAAACCTGCTTCACGTATTCGCGTGCCTTCGGCTCCCGTCCTACCAGTGCGCTCGCTTCCTGCCAAGTCAACGAGACACAGCTGACTGACGCTCACCTGGTTCTTATCCTGACAATTAACAGGGAGAAAATCCAAATCAACAGGATATATCATAACTTAATAGCAGGTGGATATTGTAATATGTTCTGAACTTTGAGAGAAGTTTGGATGCAATTAACCTGGAGAACGCTGGCCCCATCTGCATCCAGAGGAACCTGAGCCAGTTTGATGATGAACACACTATGCGATCGGCTCGACTCTCTGTTCAGTCGAGTGTTTGCAACCTTTCTCTTCTTTTGACCTGCAAAGAAATATCAAATGTTACACACACAAAAATAAAACATCAAACACAGAATTTTAATGTGCAAGTTAAATGATCTCAATAATTCGTTGCACACAATTAATCTTTTGCAACAGATCTGAAACCGCTCAGAGAGAAGATTAACCCAAGTCATTTCCTGAACAGAGCCGACCCGGAGACCAGCAATTCCAGGTCAGTCAGATCTAGAAATCATCACTGCAGCATTGGAGCTAAAAGCATGTATGTTTCTATCATTTGTGGATCAGAAACAGAAACCCTCACCTCTCCAGAACACTTGAAATGCTTCCTCAGCAGATTTGACTTCAACCTCCATACAACCGGCCACGTACATGTTGTGGTTCTGATCCTCTCGAAGGATTTTAGATTGAGGTGGTCTGTAGCAGTGATAAAATGTTTTTAGATAAAATTGTTCTTCAGGAAAGAGGAGCAGTTTTTCATGCAACACATAAAGAGCATGAAGCACAAAGCGCAGGCAGGCATTCAGAAAGTTTCAGACACAAATAATGATAGAGCGGCAAGAAGCATGAGTTTACGGATGCTTGTGACACAAAGCAAAGACTGCAAGCAGAAAGTGAGTCATGTAGGAAGTGGAGGGATTTCTAAAATTCAATGAAACGAAAAGATAAAACTTGAAAAATCAACTGAGTCCTCAGATTTAAGTAGTGAGTTATTGCTTAGTAGCCCGTCATAATCAGGGCTCTATCACATGTTCCAAAGACAAATTTCATATGTGTCTGGACACAAACTTCTAAAATGGTCCACATTTTGGACATTTTCAACAAGACATTTCCCTATTCAAGATTTTTTTTTATCTTCATGAAATGACTCGATGCTAAAGTTAGCGTCACATTCGCCATTTCTTTGAAATTGCCATTTCATTGTTCCTTCGATTTTTCTCGTCTAGTCTGTGGTAGATCAGATCTATTACAAAAATATTGATAATTAAGAGTTGTATCAAACCTGGAGAGTAATATACACGAAAAGTGCAGATTTTTAAATTCACAGCTAGTTCAATACAAAAATCAGTTTCTGAATGATAACTTAAATGTTACCCTGCCTGCTGAGATTACTGAAGCAAATTTCATTTACTTAATTTTTAGTGTGATATCCATATTCAAACAAATATGTATTTGTTATTTGAAGTGATCACTCAAAGAGGTTCCAGAGAAACATTTTTAATGGCATTTAACCATTTTCTTAATTGGATGGATACAATGTTTTCTAGAATTACTAATAACTATAATTAGGTCAATTTTAGCCAAAACCAAAAATAATTGAGATTATATATTTTCCCCTATAATTAATCCATCTAACCTGGGCTCCTGTTCCAACAAATTAAGTAGCCAATAATTATTTTTTGCAATATCAAAAATCACTATTAAGGAATTCTCTTCTACATGTGTGTTCAACTGGACAGCTTAGCTTGATCATGCAGCTAATCTGATGTCTACTGGATTAGTATTCACTGGCCACATACATGAACTCAGTGTTCTGGCGCACAGGTGTGCCTCCACCATTCCACCTAGCAAAAAGAAAAGACAACAGTTTTTCTCCTCCCGCTACGCTGTCATGAAACTATTAAAAATCTTCACAGAGACTCTTGAATAATAATGCTCAAGCATACACTTCAAGTACATCCATTTACTTTAGACACTTACTTTGGCTTGATCGCGTCTTCCTGCGTTTCCTCCAAGAGGTCATAGATGTAGTTGTTATAGATTTCGATGTAAGAAACAAAGACACTGTAGCAGCTGTCCTCATCCACACCATCTGCTTTACAGGCCTCCTCTGGTTTCAGCATGTCACCAATTTCAGGGTCAACCTTTTGTCTAAAAAGTAGGAAATTACACACAACCTCAATATTTAGTGAAACATTGTTGATTGCAGGTTTTGTTTTTCCGAGCATGACATGATTTACCTGGAGGAGGGAGTTTTAAGAACTGTTAAGTTGTTTTCCCGTCTCTGACGCTCCAACACAGCATCAACTTCACACTGAAGTTCCATACCATTTTTATCATCTGTCTTAAAAACCTGAGCAGAGGAGATTCCAATAAACATAAAGCTAAGGAAATACAGCGACAAGTTGTGTGGACTTGAAAGATATTATTGTGTCCTGCTCTCTTACATATCTTTTGGCCTGAAAGGGGCTGACACTGTTGAAAATCATGTCAAGGGAACGTGGCAGCAGTCCACCCTGACCTGGAGAGCCAGTCATGGTGAAAGTCTTCCCGCTTCCTGTGACACCGTATGTGAAGAGCAGCCCTGCAGCAAACAGCAAATCATCAGCAAACTAAAAAAAAAAAATCTGATGCTTTTATAATGCAGGAACAAAAGGACAACTGTGGAAGCATAGAGCTACCAAAAGAAAAACAGCTATATTATGTTACATTGCCAATGTTAGTTTGGGTATATTGTGCATCTCCAATATCTATATTTGGTGATAGTGTTCATTTATTGTATAAATAAATAGTTAAAAATACATTTTATACGTATTTATATTTGTAAAGTTTCTGTGCTATGATGGGATACTGCTGTCATTTTCTTTCATTGGTGACAGCTCCAGGGTTCTGTAGATACCTCTGATTTCTGCATGTTACAATTTATTATCTTGCTCTCTTACCATTTTTCCCATGAAGGAGGTCGACAACAAGAGGTTTGGCCACGTTCTCAAAGAGCTCCATCTGCGATACAGAAACTCCAAAGACTTTTTTGAAGGAGTATTGTGTCTAAAAACCAAAACACATCCATTAATATGAATATACTTTATTATGCAAAAAAGCATACATTTTAAAAATAAATGTGAACAGCCTTCTAATTTCTATGTGCTTGTCACTGAACTCAGAATCAGACATGTTTGACAAGCCTAAAATGGTTTAATCTTCTAGTTTGGAGTTGGTAAAAGTATTTGAAGATTTTTTTTTTATAAAAAGTTTTTGAAGAAAACCATGCACATAACTAAGGCCAAATAACATTTCGAAAGAGGTTTTAAACTGATTTTGCTGAACTGAATCATCCAAAATTGACATTTAAACCATGCATATTGCATAGCTGCTGTAGTTTAAAGGTACACCTCTGCATGACTGGACTGGTTACCTCTTTATATTCCCCATTGCGGTTAACTCTGAAGCCCTCGGGAGCATGCAGCTGGACGGTGGAGCTGCTGATCACCTCAATGCAGCACTCCTCGTCCTCCGCAACCAGAGGCCGCACACGTAGATACACCTGATGTATATATCAAAATGATTTTTCTTACAGAATGCAGTGAAGACTCGCTGAAGACGCTAATAAGATCACAGACATTGTTTTCTTGGACCGCCATGTTGGAATGCTCGCTTATCAACCTGCGATACTTACCCCAACTGGGTCTCTCTGGCTGTTGGGAGGCTTTTTTGGAGGCTTTCGGGGCGTTTTACATTTCCTGGTAGTGAAGGATAAAATTGATCACATTTCAAACCGTCGTAGCTACTTTTAGTGATTCATAACAGTAAACGGTAATGACTGGCTGCTCTGCTAACTATCCCACAGCTAAGCTAGTCATCAAAGTCTCTCCAACTCAGTAAATCAATAGTTCCGACATTTAATGACAACACAAAGTATATTTGAAACAAACTCTAAAGGCGACGCGCGGAGAAAAATAAATCCTACTTACACTTGTCGATTCATTGTAAAGAGTAGTAATCTGTTGTAGTTTGACCGTTTCTGTTGATCTAAATTTGAATCTTCCCTCCGCCTCAATCTCAGACGGAACTGTTTGAAAAGAAGCCGAAACGAGCCAATAAGATCGCAGAACAAGAACACGTGCTTCCGCTGGACTTCTTCCGCGTATGACGATTAAACACACGACACCAGACAAAAATGTAAACTATGTGAAGTCCGCAGAAAAGAAAAACAATGTGATGTTGATGTAGCAAGTTGAGCATTCTGGCTAACCTAGCAAATGATAACAGCTAAGGAAAAACTACAAAATGTATAATTTTTCTTCCATTTCATAAATGGACTGCTATATTATTATTATTATTATTATTATTATTATTATTATTATTATTGTTGTTGTTGTTGTTGTTGTTGTTATTATTATATTGACTTACTATTTTTATAAAAGTTAAAACAACAAAAGCCATACGCAGCCTTTGAATATTCTCAGAGGTTCAGAATATTTTATATATATTTATATATCTTGTTGGTTCTTCTTTACAGAAAAAAGCAATAATCTTGAAAAAATACATTATGGCGTCACTTTTGTAGTCTTTTTTCGAAGGTCCAGTGATCTTGAGTAACCAGCGCCCCCTGTGGTGCTCCGACTGTATGACACAGAGGTTACAAAACACAAACATGCAGCCATTGAAGTCACGTGTGGTACAGTGTTACGCAAACGCAGAAGTTTCTTATGTTGATTTTTCAGTTCATCCAGCTCTCCCAGCTTCCCACCACAGGTAAGCAGCAGCTTTGAACATTATGAAGGCATTGTTCTCGAGTCAAATCACTCTTCTCGTGTTGTTTTTATTTTGTCGATTTAACAGGCTGAGAAATGAAAAGCAAGCCCACCAAGTCACAGGAAAATGGATCAAAAAGTAAAGTGAAGAAAAGAGCTGAAGAACACACGTCGCTGAGTAAAAAACTGCGAGACAAGATAGATGGAGAAACATCTAAAGCGGGTGTGTTGCATCGATTGGACGGCTTCCGTTACTCATTGCGCCAGTATTGCTTTAGTTTTGATAGCTGAATGAATGGGTCTCTTCGTTTTGCAGGACCTTCTTACAGTTCTGGAGGAGTCCAGAGGAAGAATGGCCCAGGAAGTATACTGCACTATATATACAGGAGTTCTTTGGGCCAGAGTCTGCACTCTCAGATGAGACAGGTAAAGATCTCTCCTTAGTTTAGGATCAACAAGAGCAGTCTGTATGTAGGGGTGAAATAATCCCTAATTTATTGTGTTTACTTGATAGGGCCAGACACATAATAGACTAATTTATTGTAACAGCAGTCCTATGCTGTATAAAAATTGTTCATGCTTACAGCCTGAGCAATTTGCAGCAACAATTCAGACAAATAAAAGGGAGAAAGGGCACGAAGAGCTTTAAAAAGTTTAACATTTATTTTTAAATGGGCAGGAAGCCAGTGGGATGAATGTAAAACTGCTCTAATGTGTTCCTGTTTGACGGTGTGAGCTAAAAGCTGAGATGCATCATTCTGAAAACGGTTCAAGAGCTGTAACAACAGACATGTTTAGGCCTGGCTTGGATTTTTCCTGCAGCGTTATGCACCATACTGAATGACTGTTTAAAAAAAAAAACAAAACAAAACTTTTTCTGTCTCTCGCAGTGTCTCCAGGAGCCGTTTGTTCGATCGCTATCATCCTACCATTTCCACGGCGCCAGCAGTCCATTTGATCGCAGAATCACCTGCGTGGAGTGGCACCCCACTCATCCCACCACTGTGGCTGCAGCCTCAAAAGGGGGGGACATTTTTCTGTGGGACTTTGAGAGGTCTGAAACAAAAAGCTTTACTCGAGGGGTGAGTTGATGCGTCTGATTGGCTTTATCTCAACAACATGGAAGGGCCCTGCTGATCTTTATAATCATCTGCAATCCTTTTTGTGGCTAAAGAAAGCAGGTGGATTTGTAGAAGTGTGCATCCTTGATGTGCCTTTCGACAACCTTTTTTGATTCTCTGCTTAGATGGGGGCTGGAGACTCGGTAACAGACATGAAGTTTAACCTGTTAAATCCCAGTCAGCTGTTCACCTCCTCTATGGGCGGTACAACATCTCTGCAGGATTTCAATGGGACAACCCTAACAGTGTTTACATACACAGACACCCGGAAGTAAGACTAACAGCCCTTTTTTTTCCTCCATCAGGTCTGTAAGCTCACTCAGTCTAGCATCAGTCTTCTTATCAGGCGGCCCTCAGCAAATTTAAGCATTTCCATGCAAAGCGAATGCATTATTGGCCTGCATTTGTATTTGTGTGTGCAGAACGGAGCAGGAGATTTTATTGGCGGGATGAAGTTTTGCCCCACAGACTTCTCCAGAGTTTATGCAGCTTCTGGCGAGGGGACATTGACCCTGCATAGCTTTGAGGGCTACCCTCCCACCCTGCTGTCCAGAACACAAGACTGCGGTCATGATCACCACAATGTTTGGTGAGGAAACTGGAAGGAAGACTGATGCTTGATGGTGGCAACAACATTTGCCCTTGAAAAGTATTCATAAGCCTTGAACTATTTTTGTCACAAAGTATTAGAGTTGTGTTGATATATTTGTGAGGCAGAGTACAAACTGTTTATGTTTTTCTAGTTTTATGTTTGTTGCTGTTTTTGTATATAAGCTATCCTAAGTTAGTTTTTTTGTAAAAGTCATTCTCTACACCTCAAAACAAAGTAGTTTATTTTTATTGATTTGTTTGATTAAGTACTAAAGCATAAAAAAGTTTGTTGGGTGTTGAATGTTACATAATGGAGTAGACTGAATTCTGTAGCTTTCTAAATTGCTGTAATGTTTTTCACTACTTATCACAAATGTTGTATATGACACAACTTTGCTGATTATTGCTTACATTTTCTAAATGATCTTTTTTTTTTTCCCCAGCTTTTGGTATTGTTGTGTTGACGTGTCTGTGAGTCGGCAGATGCTTGTGACTGGAGACAACATGGGAGAGCTTCTACTTCTGGGTCTGGATGGGAAAAAGGTTTGTTCTTACAGCCATTTACAGCAGTCTTCTTGTTTTATTTTAGAAATCTGAGTCAAGAATTTATTTAAAGCAAAGGATTAAAGATGTAAAAGGTATGCAATTGGTTGCGACTAAATCAATCATTTTGTTCATGTTCAGGAAGAAGGAAGAAATTTGGTGAAAGCAAAGTCAGCATTGCTTCCAGTCAAGAGAAATATGATGGTTGTATTAAAAACCATTTGTTTGTCATTTGCTCTGTTTAATTGTTAGATTTTCAGCAGTAAGTTGCACAAAGCCAAAGTGACGCATGCAGAGTTTAACTCCCGATGCGACTGGTTACTGGCGACGGCCTCGGTTGATCACACGGTGAAGCTCTGGGACCTGAGGAACATCAAGGACAAGAAGAGCTTCCTCTACGAAATGCCTCACGAGAGAGCCGTCAACTCAGGTTGGAAACAAGAGTCTTTGGTCAACGTTTTGTAAAATTCTGTTTTTAAAAAAACAGTTTTAAAGTCTGGTTGTTCATACTGAAGCCATTCAACCTTTTTGATGTCAGGTATCAGAGGAAAAATTATCTTTAGACTGATTAAAAATTGTTCAGGCTTCATTCCAGAGTGTTGCTGCTAGCCCAGAATGAAAAATAAATACAAACAAAAAAACCCCAAAAAGAAACAACCGAACTCAGTATTTTTACTAAGTATTGTTAAATGGATAAAAATAATATTTTCATACAGTAAATGTTTGGATTCGAGTTTACTTCATACCAGATGTATTTAAAAAAAAACTGCTTTCTCTCAAAGGGCTGTGATCATATCTCTCAGCATAATTTAATATAAGAAATGAGAGCAAATATTTGAAGAATTTGGAAGTTAAGACTTTATTAAGAGATAAAAACCTAAAGGAACCCATTCTGTTAATCTACTGCAGCCTATTTCAACCCTTTGGACGCCTCAAAGCTGCTCACAACAGATCAGCATGATCAGATCCGCGTGTACTCCTCCTCTGATTGGTCAAAGCCTCAGCACATCATTCAGCACCCACACAGGCAGTTTCAGCACCTCACACCCATCAAGGTTTGTCGTCTCTCCTCAAGTTTATTTCAGTGGGAATAAAAGGAGAACGACTTTTATAAACATTTAATAAAAAATCTATCTGGTTTTATGACTAAAAAATCTTATTTTAGGCACTAGAAAGATATATTTTTTATGAGTGTTTGTCTGTGACAACAAAATAATGACAGATTGTTCTGTAGGCCACTTGGCATCCCCTGTATGACCTGATTGTGGCGGGCCGATACCCCGATGACCGCATCTGCACTGGAGATCAGAGGTCCATTGATGTCTTTGACTCCAACAGTGGGAAGTTGGTGTTTCAGATGTATGATTCCACTGCCTCAGGGATCAAATCGGCGAGTATCACTTAATTTAAAAAGTCAAGTTAAAATAAACTAATTCAAAACCTTTTTAAACCAAGAATTTTTTTTTTTTTTCTACAGATCAACAAGTTCAGTCCAATGGGTGATGTCATCGCATCTGGAATGGGTGAGTTGTCTTCATAGTTCCACCTGAATCATATTTTGTTGTATTAAAGCTACAACATTCAGTTGATTTTATTGGGATATTTTATACGACACACCAATACAAAGTAGTGAATAACTGAAGGATAATTATATTTGGTTTGGGGGATATAATTTGCTCATTCTTTTTGGAAAATAAGATCTGTGTTTGACACATCAGTATGATTTAGTCTAAATCTCTAAATTGTAACTGTTTCTATATCTTAAGGCTTGTTATCCTGCTATTAGTCCTTTTGTCACTTTTTTGTTTCCAAGGCCAGAATTAGCTGTCTAGTCATACATAACTAATATTTTCCAACAAGGGCTTTGGCTCGCTGCAGCTCTTATGTGGCTTTTGGCAGCACTGGATTTTATTAGAATAAAGAGGGATGGATGACATAAAAAGCCCTTCCACATTTATATTTGTGAAAGTCATCAGTTATGTACTACTTTGTGTTTTTATGTCAGTGAATTCATTTCAGTTTGTGTAGTGCAGAAAAAATAAATGTTAAAAAAGTTTAAGAGGAATAAAAGCTGAATTCAGCAGTAAAACTCTTATAATTGCTCTCAGGTGTAACACTACTCATCTGGGACCATGACGAGTCGCTGGTCAGCGGCCGACACAAACCGATTGAGGAAACGTCGGCTTCAGCAGACGGGGTCAGAGATCAGCGGACGGGTCAGCAACGCTCTGGCAGAGACCGGAGGGGTCCGACCCGGGATGCGAAGCTGAAGAAAAAGCTAGCTTCTCTGGAAGAAACCGAGACCAAAACCAAAACCGGGTGCACCAAACAAAAACAAACTCAGAAGAGGAAACTGTAGAGCTGAAAAATTAAAGTTTATTTTTGTAAGTTTATCTTAGTGTTTTGTGTTTCTAACATCAGGAATTGTTTGCATGTTGACAAACAATATGAACCATATAAGATGGTTTGTATTTTATATAAACCATTTGTATTTGCAGGGCTGTGTACATTTTTCCTGCACTTTTTCTGCTGTATAATAATAAATATCTTCATTTGTATATTGCTGAATATTTCTTTAAAAAAATGTTTTCTGTATAATTTCAAGATCCAAGCTTCCATCTTTATGATTTATTTAAGCATAATTGTAGAGAAAACCTCCCCGTAAGTCATAGGTGGTGATGTTTGCCAGCTGGATAAGCACTCCACCCCAAGCCTCTCGCTCTTCCTTGTTCCTCTGGACCCCAACTTGCAGAACAGAGTACACCATGCTCAGAACCAGCTTCTCAAACTGATCCCGAGGCAGAGGAGTCTTCTGACGAGCCTCCTGTGTCTTCATCATGAGCTCTGTCGAGATTAGAGTCCTTGGAATGCCGTCATTAATCTGAGACAAGAATTCCCGCCCTTTCCTCATCGATGCCAGCTCTTCGTCCAACAGGAAAACATTGTTATCCTGGTTTAACTCAACCCCACTCAGTAAAATCTGTGAAGAATATGAAAAATGTGTTTTTGCCACAGAAAAGAAATGGCAAAGATACGTTGGAAGTTGGACATAAAGCTACCTCAAACATCAGGTTTGCATCAGAGAGATCAGCATTTGGACCTAAGCCTGCTGCCACATCTGAAGAGGAAAAATTAAAATTGTCATAGATTCAATTATACTAGTTCTAAAAATTGAACTGATTTCCCATTATAACTGTCATTACTTCATTATCTACAATGTAAACTGGACAATACATGAATTACCTTAGTGCAATGGCATAAACTATCAGAATGTCTTGTTTTACTCACCTTGCAGCACTTGACCAAGCCAAAGCCATAGAATAGTTGGGAGCCAGAGTCTTAGTTGTGCATTCATGCCTCTCTAGACTAGAACAAAAAGAGGAAAAGCAACATCTGCCCTACCTCTCTACTCATGGAAAGAAGAAAACGTCCCCTGAATACCACAGATTTTTGTTTTTTCAGCTTGGAAAACGGGCAGAAACCAGATGGCTCCTCTGGAGCAAGTCTAGGTTGTGGAAATTTTTCTAATTTAGATTTTTTTCCCCTTCATCTTGCAAAACACAATAAAGTGAAAAGTTTCACTTAAATATTTTATCTGAATACAAAGCACAGGTAAGGGAAATCTGAGTTCTTCTCTCAGTTCTGATCCTTAGAATGCTGTGGAGGAAAAAAAAAACATCACGTGGAAACTGTAGTGAAAAAATCAGTCCCAGATTAGCTATTCTAAGTCATAGTATTATGACCAACATTTTTTCATGAAATTATGAATGGAGGTAAATAAATAGGACCTCTCAGACTGACTTCGAGGCAACATTTATACCAGGGAGGAAATTCTGGCAAAACTGCTCAACTCCACTTCTTCTTCATACCATGTGTTCGTTAATGTTTTTAACACACCTGTGAAGACTTCAACAAACAGCTTTATTTACAATTACAATATCTGTTGTTTTCAATAAGAAACTGCAGTAATGAGGTTCTGCCACAGGGGGGCGGTAAGCGTTTGGCGCTATGTTAATTTAACCTTTTACAACAGTTATTCCGGTGAACAGTTCAGCTGCCTCCGAATGCTGCAACAGTGCAAATAAAGGTAGAGTAACTGCATGGCTATCACAGTTAAGAGATATTTGTTTAGTTCCATGTTTTCTTCAGAATATTTTGGCAGAACATTTATTAGAAAAGCAAACTGGCGGCTTTCTGCTGCGGGCGCTAGCGGCAGACAAACACAACAACACAGCTAGCGATAGCCTAGCTTAGCCAATCAGCATCACTTATCAGTTGTTTTGGTTGGTCTTTGCATGTTGAAGACCCTGTATTAGAAAACGTGTGTAGACTGAACCATTTAATTGTTCATTGTAAAAAAAAACAACAACTAATAAACACGTCTGAATATTTGAATACGAGTCTCAGTTTAATAGACCAGTGAGCTTGTGAGCAGTACATACTTCTGCAAAAACTCAGAAGTCAGTAATGTATACTTTATTGTCCAAATTGAGGAATTATAGTCAGTGAGGAAACGCAGTTTTATAAACAAAAATAAAACCTACAAACTCCACTCGATCACAGCATCATATTCGATCCAGGGGTTAATACATTATCAGACGAACCGTCTTACTCAAGTACAATGAATATTTTAATGTTCAGACCTGCTGATTTTAAAAAGGTAACATTTAAAACATGCTGTATCCTGTTTAATTATTATTATTTAAGAAAATCTATGATAACTTTTTGTATTAAGGACAATAAAAAGGTAGCATTACTGTCGCCCTAAGAATAAAAAACGAATCTTTTAAAAAAGCTACAATACTTAAGAGAGGTCGATGTGTAAAGTTTCCTGTTCTCCAAAACCTCGCCGAGATACATGTGGACCAACTGGTGGATCAGTTCACTAGACAAACTGTTCTTTGTAGATAAGCATCTATTTTATGTCTCCACTAATACATTTAATATACTTACATATTCACAGTTGCTGTAAAGCCATCGATAAATAACTAACTTCCTTCCATCTAATCCACTGTTTATTTTTCCCTGATAATCTGGTGTTAACATTTGTTTTTAACATGGCAGGCAGCAAAGATGGAGTCCGGTGAGGAGAGCGGCGTCAGTGTTAGCGGCTCTGTGGGAGAGGAGAACTACTTCCTCGGATACACCTTCACTGACCGCTCTCATTCCAGCCGTGTGGTGAAGAGCATCATGGACTTGTGCCTGGAGGATGGCCTGTTTGCAGATGTCACCGTCACTGTGGATGAAAGGCAGTTTCACCTGCACCGGCTGGTGCTGTCAGCGCAGAGCAGCTTCTTCCGCTCCATGTTCACCTCCAACCTCAAAGAGTCCCACAACCGCTTCATCGAGCTGAAGGATGTGAGTGCCTCTGTCTTCCAGCTGCTGGTTGACTACATCTACCACGGCACCATCAAGCTGCGGGTGGAGGACCTGCAGGATACCTACGAGATGGCAGATATGTACCAGCTGACGGCTCTGTTTGAGGAATGCTCCCGCTTCCTCTCACGGACGGTGGAGGTCAAGAATTGCTTACAGGTGATTTCAATCAATCAGTCAAGTTTATTTATACAGCACATTTCAGCAACTAGGCAGGTCAAAGTGCTTTACGTCATAAAACGCAGAAAAGCAAAGTCACAGAACACAGTCAACGTTTGAAGCATTATATTTTGTCAATCGTTACACATCAAATGTTGATTGTTTCATTTATAATGTTTCAAAAGCAATTCTAAACAGGTGGATTTTTAGTTTAGATTTAAAGAAACTCATTGTACAAGCTGCTTTATAATTTTCTGGAGATTTGTTCCAGTTTTATGTGCATTGAAGCTGAATGGCTGCTTCTCCATGTTTGGTCCTGGTCCTGGGAGATGAGGAGCAGACCAGAATCAGAAGACTTTATTGATTTGTCACTGGTGTTGCAGGCCAGGCTGATTTAGAACATTCATCCTAAGCCTTTTTTCTGTTTTTTTTTCTAGGTGATGTGGCTTGCAGACAGACACAGTGACCAGGAGCTGTATACTGCAGCCAAGCAATGTGCTAAAATCCACCTGGCTCAGCTGCATCAGACCGAAGAATATCTCAATCTGCCCCTCTGCCTGCTGCTGGACATCATCAAGGGTATTACAGTTAGACGGATTTAAGAGTGTAAGAATTGTAATGTCTCTTGATCAACGCTGCTCAGTCGGCTCTGTCTCTGTGTTTAGATGGTGTTCCCAGCTCCCAGAATCCAACGATGGCCATCGAGTCGTGGATAAACCACAACAAGGTTGAGAGGGAGGAGTTCTCCTGCCTTCTACAGGAGAATCTGAAGGTAGAACACCTGCCAATTTGATTTTTTTCAGCCAGTGTCAAATTTCCAGGTGTTTTTCCACGTCTTATTGATAATTCATTTTCTTTTCAAGAGTTTTAAAAAGGTACAGAACAAAGAAGTTATTCAACATTTCAATGTGTCAAACATTGAACCTGAAGGAAAGAAAGGGGCTTACAGGTTCCAACACTTAGCTAATAATTTTGAAAGGAAAAATAAAAAAACAGAAAATAAAAGAAATACAAAATTATTCCTGTCATCTGACTTTTACTAAACCCTAAAAGTGAATCAAACAGCAACCCAATCAATCAATTGGTATGTCATTAGTCAAGTTGCAAGGCTTTCTGTAAATATTATTTTAGTTGGGACAGGTCGCTGCGACAAACTGGCGACCTGTCCAGGATGTACCCCGCCTCTCGCCCAGAACGTCACCTGGAGACAAACACCAGCAGTCCTCCTGACCCCACTAGGGGACAAGGGTGTTAGAAAATGGATGAATTATTCTAGTTTTTCAGTTCATCAGTCCACTGTAGACATGGGAAGGACTTGAGCATGTTGTTATAATAGATTGAGTAATATTAATTAATATTTTTTGAAGTTTTGTTTACAAAGTCTTCACAATCCATTTCATTTTCGGCTACGTGTGTTTTTATTGTCGTTTTATTGTTGTGTTTTATTTTGGATGTTTATAATATCTTCCAGGTTAAGTGTTCTTTAAAACAGTATAGTTTATTGATCTATGAGAGAATAAATTTGGTTTATCATGCTATGATTATCTGTTACTTGAAGCTGGTCTCAAAACAACAGTATCATTGTGTATGGCAAAAAATTACTGGGACAATTTATTGTGCAGCAAAATGTCTTATTGTGACAGATCTAAGAAGTAATAATAATAATGAGGTGATTGGTTCTTTTTATGCTTATTTCTGTCACTAAAATTTATTTCTGGGTCCATGGCAGGAAATCGGGGAAAACGTCCACATCTACCTGATTGGCAAAGAGGAGACGAGGACTCACTCTCTTGCTGTGTCTCTGCATTGTGATGAGGACGATGCGATCAGCGTGAGTGGCCAGAACAGTCTCTGCCATCAGATCACTGCCGCCTGTAAACACGGCGGGGACCTATACGTGGTGGGGGGGTCCATCCCCCGCCGCATGTGGAAGTGCAACATGCACACCATGGACTGGGAGCGCTGTGCACCGTTGCCTAGAGATCGCCTCCACCACACCATGGTGTCTGTGGCCTCTGAAGAC